TGCCCCTTTGCAAGGGCGGAAGGCCCAAGTTGCCTTGGTCTACGACCTCTTCGCGCGGAGAACGTGGGCCGAGCGCGCCGCCGCTGGCGTGGCAGGCTTCCAGGCCGCTGTTTCGCGCCATGCGTCAGCGCGTTATTCTCGGGCGCGTGTCGGCGCGCAGGTGAGCGTCGCTGAGCTGTCGCTTGACAGCGGGCTGCTCCGCGCGGCGGAAGTGGAGTGCGATCGGGCCCTGCCGCGTCGCCGAATCCCCTTCTCTCGCGTTGCGCCGCCACTGTCGCGCAGGTTGCCGCGCCGGTCGGCAAGGGGGCAGGAAAAAGCGCCGCGGCGGCGCGCGGGCAGAGTGCGAGCGCCGCAAGCGCCGGGCACCGCGAGGGGCGCCGCCGCCACCTCCTGGAAGAACGACCGCGAGCCGAGATCCGACGGGTGGCATTCCCGTGGTTCCTACCGCGGGGATGACAACAAACGCTCCTGGGATTCGCGGACGGTGTATTCACCTCAGAAGAAGCGGCGCGCCTGGCGCCCGCCGGAGGCGCGCGCAGCTCGCGGCGCGCGGCGATGTGCGGGGCGCGCGCTGATGAGGATGTGCATCTCGCGCCGCGTCGGCATTTGAATAACGACGAATGGGCGCCAACCGTGGCCACCGTCCCGTGGCGCCCGCAGGCGCGCGCGCTGGCGCGCTGGCAGGAGGGCGCCGCGATGGTGTCGCGTCGTCCAGGGCTTGGGCGCCAGTCAACACTCGCGGTCCCGTTGTGACGCGAGGGCCGCCCGCCCGCTGGGCCGGGAGGCGCGCGAACGCCCCCTGGCAGGCTCGCGCGCTCGCGCTCGCAGAGCGCAGGAAGCGACGGGGCTCAGTGTCGCTGCCGCGTGGGATTATCAGGCGCTGCGCGTTGTGGCGCGCGACGCTCGCGGGCTAGCGCGCCTGGCAGAATGCTGCCTCGAGTGCGCGCGGTTGCGCGCCGGCCAATGCCGGCTTCGCCTGCCGTCGCCTCCGTCTGCTGAGGAAGCGCCTAAGATAGCCTTTCTTGAAGAGGTCCTTTCTCGTTCTCGCGCCCTCGAGGACAAAGAGGCCTTTGAAAAGGCCGTGGTAGTGCCCGGCGACGTTTCGGCGGCGATCGATTGGGTTGCTGCGCGCTCGGAGCGGCAGGTGTGCCGTGGGCGGCGAGCGACCCTCGAGCGAATTCGGGTCAGGGACGCCGAGCTCTTCGCCTCTGGAGCGACGGCGGCCTGGTTTGCGGGCTGCGATGCCAATGCGCGTGCAATCGCAGGGTCGATCAACGGCCCCCTTCTCGTCGAATTGCTCGACGAAGTCGGCTGCGAGGACGCGGCCTGCGTGGGAGTTTTTTTCGGCGCGGCGCGCCTCTCGTGGGCCCGCTCCCGTGCGCGGGGAACGGGCGGTCAGAATCTTTCCCTGAACCGCTCAGCCTGCCGGAATTGACCGCGGGGGCGGCGCGAGGCAACGCCGCGCTGCTCGGCGCGCTCAAGGGGTCCAGCGACTCCGCCGAGATCCTCGCCAAAACTGTCGCCGAAGCGGAGCTCGGCCGAATGGGCCGCCCCGCGTCGATCAGCGCAGTCGAGCTCGACGGGGCTGTTTTGACGCCGCGGTTCGGCGTCTGGCAAACGAGAGAGAACGGCTCCGAGAAGCTGCGGCTCGTCGACGATATGTCGCGCTCTCGCATCAACGCGGCGTCTCAGCCGACGGAACGTCTCGGCCATTAGGTCATTGACGCTCTGTTCGGCACTGAAGTCTTTGTACCTGCGTCTACGTGGCTCAGCACTTCGCCGCCCCATTCGGTGCGACTTCCTCCGTTCGCAGTTGGGGGCGCGTCGGCGCGATGCTGACAGCGCTGGGCCGCAGACTCCTTTTCGTTCTCGTCCTTCGATATGTGGGCGATTTCTTCTGCCCTGAACGGAAGAAAGGGCCGCGCGACGCAATGCGACAGTTCGCCGAACTGGTGAGAATCATTATCGGTCCGGGCGCCGTGGCCGACTGTTCGGAAATCCGATCGGAACCCTAGGTTTGTCTGTGGCGATTGACGAGCGAGGCCTCGCGTGTTGGCCGCTGCCCGATAAGCGCGCCCGGTGGCACGCCGAGATCGCCGCTGCCCTTCAAGAGGGCGCGCTGGAGCGCAGGCGCGCGTCCCAATTGGCAGGCCGCTTCTGTTGGGCCGCCTCTAACACCTTCGGGCGGTTCGGGCGTGCGCTGCCCCCGCCGTTGTTTGAGCGCGCGAGGGCGCGCCATCCGAGCATCCCAGCGCACCTGCGAGTCTGTCTGCAATGGTGGCGCGAAGCGCCCGCCAATAATTTCGCCGCAACTCGTGAGTGGCAGGCGCCAGACACCAGGTCTGTGCAACTGCTCTCCGACGCGCGGGGCCATCCAGCCAGGGTGGCCGCGGTTCTTTTCATTGACGGGCGTATTGTCTTCACCGATGTCGCCCCTCCTGAGCTTCTGCTTCGGCTCTTTGAGGAGAGGCGCGACGATCAAATCGGCGCGGTGTGGAGG